GGCAGGGCTGCTCCCCACCACCCTGACCTGAGCGAGGGGGCTCAATGGCCAGCAAGCATCCCCACAGTGGGGTGCAGGGTGGTGGGTTTAGACTAGACAGAGCTTTGGGGGTGCCCCTTCCCATGAGCCCACCCCTGGGGTGCTCCTCCAGCCCTGCCCTGAAGCCCTGTGCACCCTGGTAGGCGCAAGCAGGAGTTGGGAAAGGGGGATCAAGGATTCGGGGTGGCCTGATGCCCAACACTTCTGAGCCCTTCTGTTCCCTGGGTCTTCCCCCACCCCAAACCTCATCTCCATTTGAGCCCCCCTGCAAATTGCCCTTTAACTGCGAAACCTGAGGCTTTTAGTGACTTTTAGCAAACCCCACCTGCCCGGCCACTGACCACAGCAATTCCTCCTCGGGGTGTTTGATCCCCGCCTGGCAAACTTCATCCATGATGACCCTGTCCCTTTGCCCCTTCAGCTCCAAGGAGGGACATGGGTGCCCAGCAGGGTGGACACCCCCCAGCACCCTGCCTCCGGGGCTATTTTGAGAGGGGAGGGGGTCTGGAGACAGCACAGCAAGCAATAATCATCTCCTTTGCTCCTGCTCGCTCCTGGAGACAGAGCCGATCAGGGTTTGAATCCGACACTGTTTAATTTAAAGGCTTCTCAATAGACTCTTTTTCTGAAATACAGGTTTTCCAATCACACTGTTGCTTGTTTTTTAAAAAAAAAAATAATGTATTTTGTGGAAATTATTCCTGTGGATGTTTTGTTTCCATGTGTTGCGATTGGGTGTTGTTGTACTGTCAAGCTCAAGAGAAATTCTGTTTACTGGAATAAACCTTCCTGACTTCATGTGTCCAGTTTAAGGATAAATCCTTCCAAAGCCTGTGGGCGTGCGAGGGCTCATCGGGGGGCTCACTGTGCCATGGTGGCCTGGGAAGAGGCAGGTAATGCTCCCAGGGGCGGGGGACACGGGGGGTTCCGTACCTAGTGGGGCTGGCTGGAGGGGTCGGGCAGGAACTGGCTGGTCCTGGTGTTGGTTAATGCCGCGGGGTGATTAAAGGGCTCTAATCCCCCAGGGAGTGCAGGGCGGGTGATGCAAGGCTCTAATCTGTGCCTGATGGCCTGGCTGGAGGGTGGCAGCTCTGCTGGGACAGCCCAAATCTGCCCCTAGACCCTCTGCGGGGGGTGTGGGGTGAGCCCAAGCCCCAGAATTGCATCCTGGGGCTGGC